AAGATTTTACCCTTGCGGTCTTCGAACTTTTCCTAACCCTAAGCAAAGATGAAAATTATAAAAATTGCTTTCTTTGATCTATATCTTACGATATATTCTGTTTGTCACTCACAGAAAAGCACCTTTCGAACTGCGACAGACAGGGTCGAACCGCGACAGACGGAGATATTAATAACGGTATTACCTCTGATGAGGAACAGCGTCTGAGAATATAAATATCCATTTATTGGTAGGTAGCCTCTGAGAGTTTTAAAAATTGTTATAAGTGGTGGTTGAATGCGGTAAAGAAGTATTATTCCAGATTACATAACCTGTGCTATTCTTTATTAATGACTGAGATGGTTGCTGTTTGTTGCAAACTTCCTGCGAGTCCCAGGACTGGCATCCGACGGCTATTGGGAGCCTTAAAGACGAATGAGCTATGATTAATCGACCACGCTGAGTCTCGTGACAATATTTTCTTTTACAAAATTTTACAATTATACCGTAAAAGTAGTTTTACGAAAACTAGAGTTTTCAGGCTGTTTTCACCTAATATTAAAAAATTCACTATTCACTCAAACAACATCAGAACGAGTTCAAAACTTCACAATGTAGAGTGTTCAGACTATTCTATATCTTATTTATAGGAAATCGCGAAAGAAAATTTACAAAACCCTAAGACTTCCGAAAGGGTTTCTGGAGAATCTATCAACAAAAATATGCTTTCTCGAGTTTTTCGATTTTATAACCATGTTTAGCGGACAACATTAACCATATCCTGAGGTTCTGAATTCGTTCTGATGTTGAATAGTGAATTTTTTAATATTAGGTGAAAACAGCCTGAAAACTCTCATTTTCGTAAAACTATCTTTACGGAATAATTTTAAAATTTTCTAAAAGAAAATATTGTCAAGAGATTCAGCGTGGTTGATTAATCATAGTTCATTCGTCTTTAAAGCTACCAATAGTGATCGGACATATACGTCATATCTACAGACAAATATGCTGGTGATTTATGAAATAAGAGCCATCGACACTTTTCAGTGTTAAATCGCTCAACTAAATTTCTTTGTACAAATCTTGAATTTTATTTATTTTAGAAAAAAACAGGATGAAAAAGAAATCGATAGCTGAACATGGTAAAGGAATGTGTCGTTTGATCGCTTTATCATTAGCTGTTAATGTTGGTAATTTTGATGAACTTTCTATTGCATACACAAATGTTTCTAAAAAATTCACTTTAACTCTTGCGATTGACGCAAACCAATAAATTTGTTCATCAAAAATCGACTTTTCAGCAAGACGTCCGAATTTGTTATCAATAGATGATCTGGTTAATCCTTAATTATTGAACAACGTTGGAGTGCTCATATTAGGATCATTTAGCTGCTAAAAAATCATAGACATCCATAGTTAACTAATCCAGACATAGTTACGACATTTCTTCCAAGCTTCTGTGCCGATGCTAAAGTTTTCCCTACTGTAAACATATATCGTGAACAATCATATTAGTCAAAACCGTTCTACTGTCTTACCCTTGAAACGTCAGTCAAGTTATGAAAAGCAGTAGTTTCCAATTAGAACATTAACAAGGCTTATTCCGCTATTCTAAAATATTTAGTAGAAAAACAACTTATAGTTTTCTCCAAATTCTTTTTTTGTAAGAGTTCACCTTTGAAACTAAACACATGTGATCTTTGCCACATCGACAGAATTTTTTGTACAAAAACTTTATGAGAAAACAAATATAAGAGAAACTTTTCTCACCTGTCGTATGCGAACATGGGCAGTTAATTGTTAATGTCATCAAATCTATTGCAGTTATTAATGATAATAGTTTTGAATCGGGTCTCGATGGAAGTGAGAGTTGATCCGATATAACTTTATTTAAATACCATTCATTGACATACACGCAATTAATGCTGGAATAGCCACGTAAACCCAAAATACCCACATTAACAAAATAGGTTTTGACTGGTGCTCTTGCCAATTCGTTAACTGCTGTACCTAATGCTTGAGTAATTAATAATTCTATCTGATCAACAACCTCAGAATACAAACAGAATAGATTTCAGAAACCATCCTTAACGAATTAATCATTTGTTTTGGTCCCCTACGATTACTAACTCATACACTAACAACTAAGGTAATTAAAACAGTACTTCTATATTTCCCATCTTTTTTTATTTTTTCAGAGGATAAAAACTTACCAGTGATATTTCTAGAAACTTAACCTTTTCTCATCAGAAAATCAGTAGATCTTTGAGCGAAAAAGAAGAGAAACGAGTCAGAAGTTCCAAAAATCAGAATTTTTCTACCAAAATCAGAAGATCTGAAATCCCTGCTTGAGAGAGAGAGAGCCATTAAAGTTCAAAAGTGAATAAGCAACGAAACAACTTTTAGTTAAAATTAGACGAGCTCACATTTTATACAGTCATTACAGAGAGTTCTTTAAGCATCGGATCAATCACTAATAGCGATCTAGAATTTATACTCATTCTGGGTTCTAATGTGATTTACCAAATTCTTTGATGTTCTTTTTTTGAAACGGTTAAACGAACTGATACCGCATTTGTTTGCTGCACAGGATACATTGGGAGAGGGAAGGTTGTTTATACTATGTTTTTTGTCTTTTCCAGATGGCTGGCCTCATCGATTATTTTCTTAATTGAAATATACTTTTCTATCGTAATTTTTGACGCTGCTACGGAGTCTGATATTCTTTTGTGTCCTAAGGCCCTTGAATGTACTGAGTAATGTCGAAAAGTTCGAAGACAGCAAGGGTAAAATCTTAGCAGAGTTGATGTGGTAAAAATGGTCGAATGAAAATTGGCCGATCAATTGTTTAAAACAAGAAGTATATTTCCGTCATCAAGTAATACAATGCGAGCTGGTGCAGCTGAAAGATCAAAAACAAAAAACACAAATTGTGTACA